TTTCGCCCTCCAGATGCGCAAAGTGAGGAGCGCGTGTGTGCGTTACATTACTATTGGCCAGGAGACCAGCATCCTACACATGCGGGAAGCACAAGCCAATAGGTTGAACCCATTCTAGCCATCCCCCCAGGCGGAGACATGCTCGGCGAGAAGCCGAAATGGGGGTGTCTAAGCTGCTTAGAGAAGGATTCTGTGAGCAATCTCACTTTGTACCATTACTGGCTCGGCCTGATAGTCGTGATACCAGATTTCAAGGCCCACGTGCAGACTGGTAAGATGAAGATGAAGAACAAACAAGCTGGCAGAAAAAGGCTGGTTGGCGCCAGCTCGACTGCATACCTCGCTGTGCATAGTGATGCTAAGAGCGAGCATCATTCGACCCCACAGATTCTCAGAGTACCTAGTGTGCAGGCTCCGTGTTCCGACGAGGCCGGCGCTGGTGCTGGCGCTCGGCTGGAGCTGATGGAGTGTCAGGAGTGCACACCTGCACACACCTAGCGTCCCTTGCCCACCTTGCCCATCTACCTTACCTGGGTACGTAGGTGGGCAGTGGTGGGCAAGTACTCGGGCAAACGAGAGAAGCCGGTCTCTCGAATACCGAAACGGGTGTTACTTGGTCATGCACGGACAGGTGGCTGAACAGCTTGTACCTCGCGAGTCGCGACTGGTGACGGGGATGGAAAGGTGAGGAGGAGGAGTGATGCGTGCACGCGCCTAGACTGCAGACAGGGCCGGAGGTGTCTGGACTGATGCCGCGCCCAGTGAGGAGTTGTCTCGACCAGTTTTTCCCCTCCTCTTCCTTGGCCTTCCTGGCCCTCCCTTGAGCGCTGGGGCCCCAACTCCCTGTTCCACAGTCGAGATTGATGCGGTTGTACCAGCGACTTGTGTGCAGCCCCGTCGCCCAAACGAGTCTCGCACTGTGTCGAAGACGGCGTCCCTCTCTCCCTCCGTCCGCCACCCGCTATGCGCCCTTTCAAATGCCTGCAGCAACCAATGAGACAGTGCGCAGCGTGACCCAAACTGTCCACTGACCCAATGCCTGCCTTTTTGGCTCCGCCCCGACCGTCGGTTGTCTGGCTGATGCGAGCAGGGCATGGACCGACTGATTTTTGGGGGAGTCTGCGCTCCCCTCCCACTTGTCTGCTGCGCGCCCCAGCTGCTGCACCCATTTACTCTCTCTTTCTGCTGGTCTCACCTAGAGACACACACACGGCACGTGACCGACATCAATACGTCCATCGCATTGCCGACAACCAAAGCAATCCTTTTAAAACCTTTTTCATTTTCGGACAATTCGACCGACGAGAGATATTCTGATCCCAAGATGGACGATTTGACCTCCATGGCCAAGGCATATCACGTGATCTTTCAGCACCAGCCAGTGGCCCAAGCGTCCTGCGACGCTAAGATCTAACACGTCGGCATCTGCCAAGGATCGCTGAGCTCTGTCTGGTCTGCTGTTCGACACCTATCTGCGAATCTTGGGCGAAAGCCCGGGGAAGCGGCCTGTGACGAGACCACATTCTAGCGAATGACCCGCATGGGTGGCATACATCTTCACTTCATGCAGGGTCTGGAAGCCCGTGACGAACGACTGGTCCTCGTCAGTCTCGATGGGTCGGTTCCGATGGGGGAGCCTCAGATGTGTTTCCGCCACAGTCACCCGCAACTTTGTCCATTTTCTGACTGATAGTGCGTTTCGTCGTTCTTTGTTGTTCATTCATCGTAGCTCATGACACGTAAAACCATCGTCGTCCTTCCTTCACACATGTGGAGAGATCGGGCCACGGCGTGCACAGGGACACAAACGCAGGTCCTCACATCTCCTCCCCCTCGGGATCGAGCACCATCCACCTCAGGCCCTCGTCGCCAACCCAGTCGACCCCGCTCCCGACCACAATCGCGCTTGCCGTACCCTTCATGACCTTCCACTTCTGCCTGCTCGCCTTGAGCCCGGCCCTCAGCAGCTGCGTCTCCCGCCTCGTCTCGTCGTCTTCGCCGCCGCTCCCCTTAGGCCCGCTGCCGCCGCCTCGCCGCCGCGCCGCCTCCTCGGCGAGACGCAGCACCTCCTGCGCGAGCTCGGCGTTCCGACGCCCCGCGGACAGGGCCTTAGCGCGGGTCGCGGCCAGGGCGTCGAGCGTGTCGCGCAGGCTCGTCGCGTTGCGGGCGAGCGTCGCCGAGGCGGCGTCCCGGGCGCGGACTGACGGCAGCAGGTCTGACTCTATCGGCGTGGCGCGCGTGCTGCTGTGGACGGCCTGGAGGATCGGGTTCGCGGTGAGGACGGCGTCTGTGATTGTGTTGCGGAGTAGGTAGGTTGCTTTGGCGGCCGAGGCGGCGGACTGGGCTTCTTCGAGCGATGTTTCGGCCGCTGGGGCTGTGTCTGGCGCCATGGGTTAGCACGAGATGGTTTTTCGTGAGCGTGGGAGGAAAGAGGGTGCTGGCGGGCCCGCTTACCTGGGATGTATGCTGTTTGGGCTTTGAGGAGGGCGACTTTAAGCTCGAGATCGCGGAGTTGGTCGTAGAAAGTGAGGACTTGTTGCTCATCTGGCGAGAGACGTAGGGGCGGTAGCTCCGATGAGGGCGCGTCTGGTGACGGCGAGTTGGCCTCCATTGTGACAAGCCCTCCAGGTTCGGCCGTGATCATGAAGCCGAGGCCAGTCGATTGTCGCTCTCGCTTCTCTTCCATCGAAATCGAACGCGTCTCGACACGCGTTAAGTTGACTCTGTGGCTAGTACCCCTCACCAGCCATACGTGGCTGGTGCTGTGTTACACTGATCGTTTTGACCGCCAATCAGTGACCTTAGTCACAAGGCGCGGGATAGACGTCACGCTAGCCTGACGCACGACCAGAGACAAGCATTAGATGGTCGCCTGCGAGTTTGTTATCTCGGTATCGGCCGCCCCAAGCTTCGGCCAGGCAGCTCTCACCCAATCTCGAGTTCATTCGGAGGCGCTCTACAGACGAGCAGTCCGCCAGCACCCTCAACGGGAACCATAATAATCTTGAAGCCGACTGCCAAGGCTTGAAGAACCCGACAGCTCGGTCATTGCAGCACGTCCAGGCTCTCACGCAGCTTCTTGTCGGGAGATGTCTCGCGATGACTACCCAGGTGTTGATAGCCCACACGGGCCAGCGGTTGCAGGTCGTCGACACGGCTCAGTTCTCGTCACTCGATGAGTTCAAGAGCTGGGTGGCCCGCCAGACTTCTATACCATCGCACCAGCTCGTCGCCTTGACGGGACAGGGCAAGACTGTCAAGGTGGCGAGGCTGCACCAGGAGGTTCGACCGGTCCCATCGCTAATCTGCTGTGTATTGCATGGCGTGCTGACTCTTTGGCTTGTAGGGCGAAGTCTACGTCTATGATCTCAGAGTCACATCAGCCACACCTGGCGCTGCCGAGTCTCTCGTCTCCGAAGTCCCCGCCCCGAAACGATACTCGGTTCCCAAGGCTCCCGACTACATCGACAACAGCCATGACATGGCGGCGTGGCAGACGCTGTGCCGCGAGCGGCAAGCTTGGGCGCTGGGCCTCGCTGCTGACGCGGCGCGCATGGAGGAGACGACGCGCGAACGCTACAGCGAGATGGACGTCATGATCAAGTGCCTCGACGCAGCCGTCGCCAACCTCGAACTCAGCATCAAGAAGATCGAGCCTCAATATGCGGAGCTCAAGAAATACGTCAAGCCCGCGTTGGAGGAACATACCCAGCTGGCGAGCAACTGGGAGCAGTACCTGGATCTCGCGAAGAATGTCCCCATTTCGGCAGACATGGTCAACTTCATGACGTCCAAGGATGTCAAGAAGAAACAAGCAACGCTGGACGACTTGCTGCAGCTCGACACGGTGAAGAAGGCGGGTTCGCTGGCGGCTGCATCGGAAAAGAAGTTTGCGCGGAAAGCCAGCGACCTGGACAAGGCTGTCGACACCATGTACCAAGGGCTGGAACATCTGATTGGCGAGTTCGAAAATCTGGTGAGCCGCTCGGCTTTGTCGCACAGCGAGGAGGCCGGGCAGCTTCTTCAGGATATTGAGGCTGTTGTGGGCAAGATTGATACGGATGCCCAGATTGTCCAAGAGTACGGCCAGCGCGACCTTGCGCAAGCCTCCAAAACGGCACAGAATCAGACGGAACGACTCATCCCAAGTTTGAGGAAACGCGCGAAAGAGATGGACGACATGCTTGTGTATGCCACGTCTGCGCGCAACACCATTGCGGCGGACGCCGTCGACTTCATGCGTACGATCAACGATATATCAAACCTACATGGCGACGTCAAGACTCAGTGCCAAAATCTCCGGGAGTCTGATGAGGACATGACAACGTTTGATTACCTTCGGTTGATTCACCAATTGCCATACATGTATTCCTCTTTCGTTGGCGAAGCCATTCGGCGACGAGAGTGGACGGAGAAGGTGAAGACTGACTCTTCAACCTTGGCCAACGAGATGGCACTCTTCCAAGACGAGGAGTCGAAACGCCGAAAAAAGTGGCAGAAGAGTATCGGCAGTACATATGGGCCTGATAGCTTCAGCAATACCATCTTGGGACTAGAGGTGAACCTGCTAGGCGAGGAAGAGGAGTGGCCAGTCATGGCGAAGTCCGACCTAGAGGAGTTTCTCGGGCACCTCAAGCAGCAGCAGACTGAGACCGCATTACTAGAAGAGGTACAGGAGCTTGTGAATGAGCTCAATGCGCCGACAAAGCAGCAGTCGAAACGCGTCAAGGCTTTCAAGAATGGAAGTGTTCATGAGGCAGCACTGGGCAGGAGTGGCTTGATGATCCGCGGCGATGATGACTTGCTCCGAACGCTGCAAGAAGACAAGATGAAGCTTGAGAACAGGCTCAAGACGGCCGAAAGCAGAGTAAGACGTCTCGAGGACCTCCTTCACCGAGGTCAGGCAACACGCCCAGGCCTAGGGTCTCTGTTCGGACACGACCGCAACGACTCTACGGCTTCGATCAAGTCGACCCCTATGTCCGAGGAGCGGCGCCATTCGTCGGCGGGTACAGACATACTGCAACAGAGGATACAGCAGCTTGAGACGGATGTGGCTGCCGAAAGGGAACGCTCTACCGTGCTGGAGAAAGATCTTCTCGCCCAGATGACGCAGCACAAGGACACCAAGGGTCTGATGGAGGAGGCCAACATTACGAAGAAGGACCTGCTTGGAAACATGGAGGCACTCAAACGAGAATTTGTCGAGGAGCGTAAGTCGCTCGAAGATGAGATTAAGACCCTGAAAGCTCGCATCGAAGAGAACGAAGACGAGATGGAAAACTTTGGCGAGTCCCGGGAGAATGAGAAGGCGACATATGATGGCCGTGTCTCAGCGCTTGACCAGGAGATCGAGAGGCTTCGCAAGGAACAGAAGGATGAGACACTCAAGGCTCAAGGTCAAGTCGAATTTCTTCGCAACGAGGCCAGACTACAGCGCGAGCAAAACGAAAGTCTCGAGAAGCAGCTTCAGGCAGCGCTTGACGAGAACAAGACGGCCCTGGCAGAGCTCGACATCTTAAGGGAATCGAGTGACTCTCAACGCAAGGCACTACGCAGCCTTCATGAGCAGCTTGCTCCGAATGACAGGCTCCCCGAAGACATGCTCGATCTGATCGACGCCACGCTGGCGCGGTCAGCTGAAGTGGTCGCCAGACTGCAGTCTTCAGATAACGACAAGACTGTTCTCAAGTCTAACAATGAAAAAATGCACGAAGAGCTAACGACTCTCAAGGATGAGCTGGCTGAGTCCCAGAAACAAGCTGCTACGAAAGAAGAGTCAGCGATGCACCTTCGAGAAAGTCTGGACGAAGAGAAAGCCAAAGTCAGTGCTCTCGAGAAAGATGCCGCTGGCGCTCGCAGTCAGCTGGACGAACTTCGCGCAAAAATTGCACACGGCGAGACGGGCTCAGAAAGCTTGCGGAAGCAACTGGACGAAGTTGAGCAGAATGCCAGAACCATCAGCGAAGAACTTGCTTCCAAGCAATCACAGGTGGGCAGCCTCGAAGAGGAGCTTCACATGTACCGCGAAAAGCTTCAGGTGTCACAGGATCATTACTCGGCGCTGACAGGAAGATTTGACGCGCGGACTGGCCACACGAAGGACTTGACGCAGCGTATTTATGCTCAGAACGATCGAATGTGTCGACTTTTGGAACGGCTTGGCTTCGCTGTTACTCGCGACGAGTCCTCCTCGGCCATGACCTTTACCAAGGTCCCCAGAGCCGAACGTGGCTCCATGAGCCAGACACAAGTTGCCAATGACTCGTCCGACCCAGGGCAGCCATCGATCCGCCGTTCTTCCACGTTTCAGAGCCGCAACTTGGCTGACAGTACCGACCTGGAACTACTGTACTGGATGAACAGTAGCGAGATTGGAGCTGAGCAGAACAAGTACGATGCGTTTATAAATAAGTTGGGCCACTTTGATATGGACCAGTTCGCTGAGACAATTTACCGCCGCGTCAAGGACGTTGAGCACCTGGCACGGAAGCTTCAGCGCGATTCTCGTGCTTATCGCGAGAAGGCTCGCTCCTTGCAAAAGGATGCTCACGAGAAGATTGCTTACAAGCACTTCAAAGAGGGTGATCTCGCCCTCTTCCTTCCTACAAGGAATCAAAGCTCCGGGGCTTGGGCTGCCTTCAACGTTGGTTTCCCGCATTACTTCCTGCGCGAGCAGGATAGCCACCGACTGCGGTCACGCGAGTGGCTCGTGGCGCGCATCTCGCGGATCGAGGAGCGAGTTGTTGACCTCTCCAAGAGCCTCCACAGGCAGCTTCCGGACACGGACTCTTTTAACGACGAAGACGATAATCCGTTCCAGCTGTCCGATGGACTGCGGTGGTACATGATCGACGCTGTGGAGGACAAAGCCGGGGCGCCGTCGACACCTGGCCTCGGCAAGTCGACCATCGCCACGAATAATGTCGAGGCTCGCGCCGACATGCATACCCACGCGCAAGCCAGCGCAAAGGACAAACAACGGGCCGCGGGCCACAGCATCGAGGGCGTCAGTAAGGCGCTGTCCAAGAGCTTAGAGAGTCGGCGTAGCAGCACGAATTCGAAGAAAGCCCTACCCCTGGGTGCGGGTGCGCATCTTCTCAAAGGCAACGCTGTGGCGAGCGAGACCAACTCCCTGCGTACGGCGCCAGCGGAGAGTCCGCCTGCGCAGGAGCCGCAGGCGCCGGAGGCCGAGGTACGAAACGATATCGATTCCCTGATGGGGCCCTGAGCACCGCTGATCCAAGGGGTGCAGGCGTCTGGCCCAACACTCGCACGCGAGACGAGCGGTGTTAGTGAAGCGGCATCGAAGAAGAGTGTGGTGTGGGACCCGCTATGGAGCGTGGATGTAGCGTTTGAGAGTGGAGGGAAGCCGACATGATGTGGTTTTGCATGGTGTTTTGGTCATGATAGACCCGAGACGCCCTTTGTGTATCGTACTCGGGGTCATTCTATGGCATGTAGTACTATTCCTAGCGCTGTTTCTTCTTTTATATGGCATTTCGGTGTTGGTGGTTGGGGCACTGGGCCAGCGACAGAATACAATTCATATTGTATAGAAATCAGTCGCATGTTATTACCTTCTCTGGCCAAGCCTGCAGAACGTGACCGGCTGTCAGTAATAGTCCGTCTCGGTGCCATAAAGGAGAATGCCAGCCCAAGATTGTACCCATGAACGGGTTGTGAAAGACTACATGTATTTACATGTAGCCCACAAGTGGCGGTAGTATATCGGCCAGTTTGACGCGCATTTTATGTTTGTGCTGAATCAATTGGCATTCGATTCCACGATTGGGTTGAACAGCACGCCATACTGTTATTGTCAAAGGTTCATGTTGCCAGTACAGAAATGTAATGTTAGATGAAGGTTGTCTGCAGATGCCTCTTCACGATTGGGTTCACGATCACTGGCATCACGAATGCACATGCCAGGGAACTTTGTCATGTATTCTCCCGGGAAGATCTATTACGAATAGACGCTTTTCATCGAATCCAGCTGTGATGCGAGAAGCTGTCGACTACTCACACAGATATCAAGCATTGTTCACGCGTGCTGCTGACTTGTTGGGAAACGGCCATGAGGGCTGGTACCCGTCGAAGCTTCTTCGATCAAAAGGCACGCCTGAATGGCATGCCCGATTGACGAAGGCGATCACAGATCTACTAAGCATGGGTGCCATATGGCACTCGGCACTCTCAGCTGAGCTACTTCAGTCATCCACAGGGAGAGATGCCTGACATGATTTGCCAGGCTGGCGGAGGGTTTTCCTCCACGTCGCCGCCACCGTGCCAGAGGCCGCTGTTTGTGTTGCTACGAAGGAATGGAGTGGAAGTGAAAGGCTGTGGCGCATCGCGGCCATAGTGGTTGTGTCCCAGTCATCACAAGAGCAGTCTCCTCCTGCCAGGGTTTAAGCAGACACCATTACTCACACACTGCATGTTGACGAATATCGATGCTTGGAGCTTCTCAATGCCAGTTTCTTCGGCTCAGCATTGCCATGGCTATCATCCGGGATCGCATTCCACCATCGGCATCTCCAGCAAAATGCCCGAGATAGGCGGCAAACGCATTCCGCCAAACGCCTCCACAGCTTGGGATAATGCTTCTCGACGCCTCTCCCGCCATTCCCGCACCAGTCGACCGACTCGAGCTGAGACTCCTCACAGGCGTTTTCGATATCCTGTAGAGTACCTTACGCTACAGGACGCATCTTCAGAGAACATTCGGCACGGCAGCACGGGCATAGCACATGTCACCCAAATGTCTCGCGAGACTTGTCTCTTGGCATCAATCTGGGCAGGCATGTTTCCAGCTCGCACCGACACCGACCAGAAGGCGAACCCGAAGCGGCCATCGCTGTCATTGTCGTCTGACACTGGTCTTTTTGTCGACGAAGTTGCTGGTTCATCTGATTGCTCGGCGACCAATGACACAGCTGTCATCCTGTCCTGTCCTACTGTACAACTTCAGCGCGGAGGAAATCGCTTCACAAGCTCGAGCCACCAACTGGAGGTCCGGGGGACAGGTAGACACGGACACAGACACTGGACTATAGGATACAGGGCAAGATTGTTTCGTGTGGATGCGCGTTTCCCTCCCTGCTTCTGCGCCGTCACCCCATCAGTCACAGGTTGATCGCCCCTACCAGCCCCTTCACCGTCGCAGAAGCTTCCTTTTGTCACTTTGCTTTCTGGACTTCCAACACGCGCGCGCGCGTAATTGCGAGATACAATGGTGTCTCGCGCAATGCGGCGCGCAACGGCGCGACATCGAAAAAGCAGAAGCGGGCCTCTACATGTACGCCCGAACACCTTTAGGACAATGTACCAGCTAGTGACTGGGGACAGAACCTGGCCGTTGGGTCCTCGGGAAAATTCGATGCCAAACTCGATGGACGTCCTGGATCCTCCCCATCTCATCCAGTTTTGGGTACCTTTCCCACCCAAATGCTCCCGCGCCTGGTATGATTCGACAGTTGCGGGCGAGGACTTTGACCTAATCAGGGGTACGAGGGCTGCAACTGGCTCAGATTGGGGATGTTCCTGCATTAGCCCTTACGACCAAGCAGTGCCGAGAGCCCCTAGAAAAAGACTGTCTCGTGTCCGGACTTGGCGACTACCTGGCTCGTACGAGGGGTGCCCGGCGACTTGGGCGACACGAGTTGAGGTCTGATGGCAAGACCAGAGAATTCGCCAGGACCTGATCGTGAACCCTATACTGCAGCTCATGAACGGGGCACTACTTGTCGCAAACTCGTCGCCTCTCCGGTACCTTGTACACGTTGTACAGAATCAGAGCAACCGACCATCGACTGTAGCGCGGGGCCCAAGGCCGTGTTACGAGACCTTGCCTGATATCACATAACGCAAGCTTAACCTTATCCTATGTTTGGTTCACACCACGCAACTGACCCCATCGTGTTCATCCATGGTATCGCTTTTCGAGCCTCAAGCCACATACCTACTTGAGGTCATGACTGAACATTGTCAGCCCAAGACCCATCACCAAGTGTTCTCGCTGTTGGAACACTGTCAGCAACCCGAGGCATGAACAGTCTTGGCCTTCGTCGTCGTTGCCACATTGGTGGTAGCTGTTCCCACTTGGTAACAGAGGGGTGGGGGTTCTTGTGGCTCACGCTGACCCTCGTCCAGCTTGGCGCTCCACGCCTTGTCTTACTATCGCAATGCACCAACGATTTGAGGCGTTTCTGGGGGCCAACCGGTCGGCTTCCTTGCGTTTCGCGCAACCTGACGCTGTGCGCACCAAAAACCCCGGTCGTGGTAGGTTATGCTTATCATTGGCCTCGAGGCAGTCTTGCGTGCCCACCATTTCACTGCGCTCCATCCCGGACGACGCTCGATGTCGTAGCCACTCCGCCCACCCCTGCTCTGATCAGTTGCAGGGCCAGCGCATTGATACATGGTCATCTCCCACTGGGAATACGGATTATGGGGTCTAGCAACCTAGGTGCTCGCCCGACACTGCTTGGCATGCAGGCCAAATATAATAGAATACTCGCTCTGCTGCCTGCCTCGTGTGCTCGGCTTGTATGCTCTCCTTATCGGTTTTGATCGCTTCAGTCACTCGCTAATTTGCTTCGTTCGTCCATAATGTTTATAAACGCTCCTTCAGTTTCACTACTTGCGACCCTCGCCGTCCTCAGCGAGGTGACTCTCGCCGCACCTGGCAATGTGCAAAAGAGAGAGCTTTCAGCTCGTCAGGATAGTCGGCCGCGCCTTGGCAATGTAGCCTACGGTTCCAAGATTGTCTCGTGCAGCAGCCCTGGCAAGATTGCCCTCACTTTCGATGATGGGCCGGGTACTTTGACGGCCGGGATCGTCGACACCCTTGAGAAGAACAATGTGAAGGGTACCTTTTTCATGGTTGGGAAGAATGGAGGAGACGGACTCACTACCGGGAACTACGACTCGCTCCTCAAGCGCATGCATGCCAGCGGCCACCATCTTGCCAGTCACTCATTCAGCCATCCCAATTTTGACGAGATCGACTACGACCAAAAAGTCCTCGAGCTCGAGAAGAACGAGAAGGCTTTCGCTGACATTCTCGGATTCATCCCAACTTACTTCCGCCCTCCTTACACCGCCTGCGACGAGGAGTGCTACCAGGCCCTTGGGGACATGGGCTATCATGTTGTATGTTCTCGTTTTCTAGGACGAGAAATGAGGAAAACACTGACCTCGTTTGAAGACTGACTACGACCTCGACACCAAAGACTGGGAGGCCGGCGGTGTCAACGCCAAGGCAAGGTACAGCTCTGCTGTCAAGGCCGCCGACCCCTCCTCCAGCTCTTTCATCTCGCTGTCTCACGACATTCAGGATTTCACAGCCAACGGTTTCGTCCAGTTCATGATCGATGTGGGCAAAGAGAAGGGTTTCCAGTTCGTTACACTCGGCGAGTGCCTCGGCGACCCTGCGAGCAACTGGTATCGTGACCCGAAGACCTTTGGCCCTGCCGATACCTCGATCGATCCCCCCGAGCCCAGCACCACCTCGACTAGCAGCACTGCGACACCAACGTCCAGCAAGGCTCCCGAGCCCAAGAAGCCCAAGGAGACCACCAAGACAGAGTCGGAGGCGTCGAGTTCCACCAGCATTGCCAAGTACATCCCGGCGCCCACCGACGGTCGTTTCATCGAGGCCAGCTCCATCGTTGAAACTTCAATCTTTGTGTCTGAAGATGCATCAACCACAGTTACCATGACTACTACCTTCGCCACCACGACTGCCATATCTGTCGCTTCCTCTGCTTTCACGAGCAGCGCCTCCAACACTACCAGTGCAGAGCCCTCGACGCCCACCGAAACCAGCAGCGACTCCGCGCCGTCAGCTGTTGACGAGGACAGCGCCGCCATCGCAGTGTCTGCGCTCCCCAAGACCTTCGTCACTTCTCTGGTGGGTTTCGTAGCCTGGATGCTGCTCTAGAAGGGGCCAGCATAAGGTACTCTACAAGCAAGCCCAGCGCGGTATTCTTCTGGAGAGATCGGGAGTATGACGATCTCATACGATTACTATGTGATTCGGTGCACGATGAAATACCCCGCTGGTCTCGGTACATAAACAAACATACCTCACGCACCTCGATGGCGCCCCTTTTCTATCTTCTCGCGGTACTTATTTGACTGATGGCCTCACTGGGATGAAAGGAGCACTACTATGTTATTTCCCACAGGCCGTCTGAGCTATGCGATACCCGGCGAACATGTCGTTTCGTCTAATGAACGTGTCAACTTTCGACAAGCTTTTTTATAAACATATTTGTTTGCTCTTCTCGGCCTGTGAACATGACTATGAGGGTATTTTGGCATGGAGAGACCCCGCATGGCGGAAATTATGATGTTGGTGCTTTTCTCGTATTCCTGTCGTGATGATCAACCGTTTCGGGCATGGCTTGGCGGCGAGCTATGGGGCGTGATATGAAGGCGGCGTCCGGAACGATTGGTGCGTGCCGGGGGGTCTGGGGGATCACTGCTCGTATTTGCACATGGTCACGGGGAGGTTCGTTGTTCGGAAGGGCATGAGATCGCGATGAAATGGTGGTCACCTGTTGACATTAACCAGACGATCTGTCCGCCCAGGAATATGTCTGCAATGGCAGTGTATTCCTCCTATGGACCGTGATCCTCGGTTCGTTCAAGAAAGCTGGCTTGTGCCTGTTACTCTGGATGTTTTGGAAAAGACTTTACTTCTTCACGCTTGAAAGGTGCTTCCTAAATGGCCAACCTATCTTCTCCCCTGATTTTGGGGAGGTGAGTATACCTGGCAGTACCGCCAAGCGCCGCGCTCTGCCCACACTGAAACAAAAGCTCTTCATATAACGACAGCACCCTGCCTGGGTTGGCTTTCGAGTATTCATCTCGATACATAACGTACTATATGCCTAGGATGACTAGAAGTATTCATCTTGATACGTGATGTACTACATGCCTGAGCCAATAACCGAGTGTTCGGCTTGTTACATGATGTACTACAGGCCTGGGCACGTGGTTGACGTTGGGAACACGAGCTTAGAACTGCATTTACCTCTACTGGTTCTTGCCCATGCTGTACGTCCCGCAGCAACCCCATCCGCTGCTCGCGCCCTCTCAGCTGGCTGTTTTCAAGGCTCCGCCCCATAGCCAAGAAATCCACCGGCAAAAAAGTCCTCCATATTAGGAAACATTTCAGTCCAGTCTATCTCATACTCGTGGGCCACGGGATCCGCCCCGCGAGCCACTCCGTCCGGTGCCAGCATTTCAGTCACTCTTGTAACGCCATCTGCGAGAGCAGCTCCGGCCATGGGTTGCTGGCTGCCGTCGAGGCGAGACAAGAGTTTCTGCTGCGCGAGGTTGCCGAACCTGGCTGCCCATGACTTGCTCGGATCCTGACCCACCCAGTAGCTGACTTGCGCAACGAGGTCTGCGGCGCTACGATCCGGGAAATTGGAGACTGTCTCGCCGTAGTGCGAGAGAATCAAAGCGCCGTAGACCAGACGGAGACACATGTTGGAGCCAAGAGACGATTTGAGATGGGTTGGCAGTTTGAGAAAGGTCTGCAGTATCACACGTGCGTGAACACAGGCATCGACCCTGAGGTCCGCTTTCGCCTTCTCAGCCGTGTTTGGGGAATTCGCAGTGGTCCGAGAAGCGGCATCGTCGAAGGCCTGGGAGGTCGTGGCATGGTTGGCCATGAAGATGTTGGGCGACAGGCCTTCATCGAGCTCCTGGAGGGATCTCATTATGAGAATGAGAGACGCGGAATGCTGGCCGATCTTGAGTTTTAGCGCCGTTGGAAGGTCTGGATAAACGAGCATAGTTCAGTATGGAAGATACCTTTCGCATTCCAAGCTTTACCTACCAAGTAAGTGGCGCCAGCGCGCTTCCCAGTCGGCGAAATAAGTGCTGCTGGCAATGAACTTTCGAGGCTGGCGTTTCTCTAGCTTGCTGAGGAGGGAGGAATACAGAGAAACCTCGGCTACCAGCATACCATCCTGCATGGAGGCGTCGTAGAAACTCAGCAGAATGTTGCAGTGGTCCAGGTAGTCCCTAGGGATGACGGAGGGCCGGCCTGTGGTGGCTGCCCAGCTGTGAAATCCGTTAGTGGTCAGCGGCGCGACGATAAACATGGACGTACTGCAGGTGATGCAACGATATTGTAGACCACAGCCGAACGGCTTTTTGGTCTTCCAAGTTGGCAGTTTCGTTCTTGATTTTGTTGACAATGCTTGAGAAGCTGATGCTCAGCATGGCTTGCTTGGCACAGTAGCCTGTCAAGACCCAACTGTCGATATACTCAGAGTTGAGCTGGCAAGCACGCGATCAGTTCGGTGTCAGACTCAGCCAGGGGAATTCAACCTACATGCTTGGCAGAAGATCCATTGTCACTCATGAGGAATATCCCATAGATTTCTTCCAGAGTCAGAGGACTGATCAGGAGAACCTGTCCTAGGGACATCCTGACGCGGTCATGAACCCTTTGATGAACGGCATCCACAACGAGGTCGGGCCGGTGTGGTATGGCCTGCAGGCAGCACACACTATGAAGAAATGACGAGGTCTGTCGAAGATCGTTGCTTGACATCACTCCGATCATTTCCTTCAAAAGCCAATCGTGCTTCCCTTGAGCATGAAAACTTGGTGGTCACGTTAGCTCAGTTGAATCTTCGACGAGAACCCAATGGAGCCCACTCACGTCCTGATGAGCTCATATGCGTCCGTCTCGGTCAAGATATCGTCATGCACCAAGTCGACCTTGGCAAGGCTTCGAGGCCTCGTGTAAACACCTGTGTACCGGCGGCCAATCTCGCGGAGTACTACGACTGGCGCGGAGCTGACAGCGTAGTCCGCAGGGTCCAATATTTGGCTGGGGCCAGGCTCATCGCCTTCAGGCAAGGAGGCAGTCTCATCGTTGACCAGGCGTTCTCTCTCTTCTTCTGAGGGTTTCCCACGACTGGTCCTGTCGTCCATTCGGTCTGTGACCGATTGAACGAGGCGCGTTAACTGACGTAACGCATCCTGTGTCTCGCGTTGAGTCTCAAGCAACCTGTGACTCATCGCGTCAGATATTTGATGCAAGGGAATCCCAAGATCTTGGGAGTTCATGTCTCACTTGGCTTCTATCGCAGATAATGATCTCGGACTTTCTTGAGATTGTGCTACGACGTCCACGTCCTCGCGGCGCGAACAAGAGATCCTGCAATACATTGTCAGTATACACGGACATACACGGACCATGGTGGCCCTGATGAGAGTCGTGGAGCATCAATCACCGTAGATTCTGGCATCTGCGGCACGCTTGCGCGTGGACGTCGTAGTCGCATTTGCACTTCAGCTTCTGACACGACTCACAGGAAAAGACGCGTCGCCGACGTTTCTGGGCCGGCTGAGGCTCTTCGGATTCGCCGTTGGCCACGCGACTGGGAGATGTCGGTACAGTTGTGCGCGAACGCTTCTCAAACATGTTGACGGAGAGATGCAGACCACGATTACGACGCAGGCTCCATGAAGACAGGAATGTGGTGGACCTAGAAATCGAGGGTCTACCGCCCTGGAGCAAGGGGTAACAAGTCCTATTTAGGCCTACCGCGAGTTTTCAGCGAACCTTTACCCCACACATCCACAAACCCCACGGTCCGTCAGCGCCTACTATCGTCACTCGAAGCATCAAATGGAACATCTTGTCGAGTCGCCTTAAGAATCATGTCTGTCCAGATGGTTCTCGGGCTTCAGTAACGTCTCTCAAGCAAACATAATACTGAGCTCGACAGAGTTGTCAATCTTCCAGCTATACCTGGACTTGATGCGCCCTGACATGGTACTATGGTTTTATTTGGCGCTGATCTCGCACTCCAGGTACGGGCATGACCAGAGCATAAATAGGAGTCTCTGCAGTGTCAGATTCTGAAGATAGGCAAAATGCTACTCGTAAAGCATGTAGATCACTGTAGTTGTGTAAATAGGGGCCTATAATGTCGTGTTTGCCTATGCATCGACGCTGATTTGGTCATGTCCCGCAATCCATATCTATCGGAGACCGTACTCTCCTCACTAATGAAGTAAGGGATGATGCTGAAGATAGAGCGGTTTGAACAGTGAAGTCAAGCCCGTGTGTCGCCGATTGTTGGACAGACCTTATCTTCCGAGGATCAGTGGCAGAAGCGGGGTACACCTCCAGCATGCTTCGTGAACCACCGGAAACCGACGGAGACCGTCAAAACCTCATATCAGCCCACCCGTTTGTCTCTGGACCTCGCACCTAGAGATACAACCAGTAATCGCTACCATCCATATTAAACCGTCAGACAGTTGATGATTGAGTATCAAAGCGGTATATTACAATTCTTTCAGTCTACAACCCTGCGAGATGACTACGACTTCGACCAAGACCAAGTCTCCCGAGACCTATAAGCTGGAACTGGCGTCGGCCTACGGCTCAGTGTATCGGGATGTACTAAAAACACCCCCTCGAGATTGCAATAGCTCTGAGGTCCCCATAATTGACTTGTCTGGAATACAAGGCAATGAGCAAGAGAGGCGGGCGCTGGCAAATGTCGTTCGCGACGCTTCGCAAAACACAGGATTCTTCTACATCAAGAACCACGGCATCGCCCGCGAGAAGATCGAAGCAGCTTTCAAGCAGGGCCACAAATTCTTCGCCCAGCCCGTCGAGCAGAAAGACGTCATAGCACAGAGGCATTCCAAGTTTTACAATGGTTGGAGTCGCAGGGGCCATATTTCCCCAACCGAGTCCATGGACCTCAAGGAAGGCTTCAGCTTTAGGTACGACCCCAAGTACGACCCGCAGGAGAAAAACTTGGACGCCATCCCACCGGAAGTCCAAGAGTGGCTCCGCGGCGAAGACTTTGTGTGGGAGGGGACCAGTCACCTGCCTGGTTTCAAGGATGCTATGCTTGCCTACTGGTAGGCATGCTTGTCTCTTGCCAGAAACATGATCAAGATCTTTGCCCTAGCTCTCGACGTGCCCGAAGACTACTTTGACAATCTGGTCACTTACCCTGGAAGGTTTGTGGACGTCCACCCCCTCCTCTGCTTGGCTATGACAACTGACATTCCCGCAGCGACGGCGTGATCAACTTCTACCCCAGAAACACAGCCGCAGAGGACGCCGTCCTGGACGTCGGCCTGGGCGCACACACGGATCTGCAGTGCTTCACCTTTCTCTGGCAAGACCACATCGGAGGGCTTCAAGTCCTCACGAATGAAGGGCAGTGGATCAAGGTGCCTCCCATTCCCGACACGTTTGTGGTCAATATCGGAGACTTCTTGATGCGGCTCTCGAATGACCGATTCCAGTCGACCGTTCATCGCGTCTTCAACCACGCACCCGAGGACCGCATCTCCATGCCGTTTTTCTTTGGGTTCAATTTCAACGAGACGTGCTCCGTATTGCCGAGCTGTACGGACGAGAAGAACCCGCCGAAATACGAGCCGATCAGCTGTGGGAATGTAAGTTTGGCTCCTAAAATCAGACCCATATCGCTTTTTGACAAATTATTGACGACATGTCAGTGGTGTGCACAGAGATTCGCAAAGACCTTCACCAAAGATTAGCTTCGCTTGCTTTTCGTCTTTATTCCAGGGCCTTGAGGAGGCGAAAACCTGGCCTCACTTCCATAGGTGATGCGTGCGCCTACAGTGGCATCAATGAAGACCTATCAAGACAGCCCCTTGGGCAATGTCTGGGTTGGGTACGAAACTCCATTTGTTGCAGCACTTCTGCACTGCTACAATATTTTTTATATGTTGAAGTTCCGATTCGGTGCTTGCCCTGCCAAATGAACCCTTCTTGACTAGGGATTATCACAGTTCATGCTGTGTCTGGGCATTTTGCCTGATAAACTCGCGGAAGTAGTTGCCACAATGTGAATAGATAGTGTCATGGCTCGTCAAGCCTGTGGAATGGACTGACGGCCTCTTGAATGACACATTCTTTCCATAATTGCTGAGCAACTATGAGGCCCTGTAATCCACGAAAATATCTCACCTAGACCCTGCATCAACACTCCGGGAACTCCATGTCCTCCAATCCACATAGATGCCTTCATTGCATTCATAACACCCATTCTCGCCAGCCCTCGCACGACCGCCCTCGGTCAAAAAACCCCTTCGCCGAACCCACCCCGAAACCGTCATCCCACCCGCCCCACGAGGCCCATTGTGCCTCGTCAGCAAACGCCACTCATCCAGCCCTCTCCACCAACGCCCCGGATCCTCCGGCCGCTTGGAAGCCTCCTTGTCCCCCAAAACCCGGCCAACACCCCTCGTGGCCGAGAGCCTCATCTGCCAAGGTTGACTTTCGACAGGCATCTCCCCAGAGTCTCGCGCCCTGCACTTCGACGCCACGGCGCCCTTTCTGCATCCTGCTCTGTGCGGAAGAGAGACATGAGAGGTGAGGCGCACTCTCGGAGAGTTTGTGCGCACAGCGCCGCAGATGCCGCGGCATCCGGCCCGGCACGATGGCTGTTTGGCCGAGGGTCTGGGCCTGGGTTTTGCAGGCACGTCTGGTAGATATAGCCATGTGCTCCTGATTGCAGGAACTGCTGCCTTTTATCTTCACAATGCCGCGGAGTTGATCCGAAGAACACACCTCCGATACGATGACACGGCGAATGGAGTACCGCGACATTGGTACTGCAACATGCAAGAAGACGGCTTGCAACCCTGACTCCAAGACTTCTGATCGACGACTTCAAGGCAAGCCATCCATTGATTCATGCCCAACATGCGCCTCCCTTTGGTCGATGCGCCGAGCCGCATGAATACGTTCAAGCGTGCATCTATGCCGACACCAATAGAGACCCGCCCTGACCATCACCTACGTCAATTCCCAACAGAAAATCAACCATAACACATGATCCGTCATAAGATGATAGCAAATCAGGATTCAGACTATCAGATACTAAACAAAAGATTCTTACAACAACTCCACCCATCCCTCCGCGAACCGGAACAACAACCTTAAACACGGTCAGTGTTGTCGTGGACATTGTTACGCTCGGCAATGAGGTCCTCGTCAACCATGTCCTCGGGATCGCGGACACCTGTCATCTTCTCAATGATACCAGCAGCGAAGATATCACCAGAAACGTTGACCATGGTGCGGAAACGGTCGATGAACCAATCGATTGCGACGACGACGGCAAACATATCAGTCTCAGGGATACCAACGGAGGAAGTGATCATGAGTGTCAAGACAAGGGACGACGACGGAATGGGCGTCGTTCCGATGGCCGAAAGAGTGGACAAGAGGAGGATCATGATGTACTGGCCAGCGTCGAGCTTGATGCCCTGAGTAGCAGCCATGAACACGCACACCATGGGGAAGTAGATGGCGGTACCGTCCATGTTGATCAAGCAGCCAAGGGGAACAGCGAACTTGTTGACGGTAGTGGGCACGCCACGCTCGCGGACGACGCGCAGAGTGACGGGAAGGGTGGCAGCAGAAGAAGCGGTACCCCAAGCAGTGAGCCACGCGGGCGACGACTTGGCCCAGTAGGGATAAGGGTTCTTTCGAGTGAAGGCGAAGAAGAGAATCGGCAAGATGACCCACAGGTGGATCAGCATAGAACTGATGGAGCCGCCGATGAGAACACCGAGATTGGTACCGACACTGGCCATGTCGAGCTTGAAGAGGTTGGGAAGAATCAAGAAGAACACGCCAATGGGTGCCAGCTTGATGAGGAAGGTGATGATCCTGGTGATCATAACCTCGACCTCAATGACGGCACGAAGAATGGCGGAGGTTGCGGGGTCCTTGATCAGGTATCCGACAATGATCGAAGTGACAAGAATGGCGAGCAGCTCGTCATTGGCCAGAGCGTAAACGACGTTCTGGGGGATCAGAGTGAAGAAGAGCGTCTGCACAATCTGGTGAGGCTTCCTCTCTTCCAACTCAGAATCGCCCTCTCCGGTGGCGGCATTCTCCATCATGGGCTCCCAGATTTGAGACGTCATGATAATGGAGAAAGCAATGGCGAGAATGGTTGTGAGAACGTAGTAGGAGATGGTCCACTTCGCAAGGACGGCAGCACCTTGGGCAACCTCACGCAGACGCTGAATGGCCAAGATCATTGCGCAAATAATCAAGGGAAGGACTGTAGAGGCAAGGTTAGTGACCGACACTGTATCGAGATGCCGAAATATACTGACCAGTGGCGCGAAGTGCGCGAAGCCAGAGAGAACCAGGAATACCGATGATGACGGGGGCAGCCTCAGGGATATTGTCCACACCCACGCCAGCAGAAACACCCAGACCGATGCCGATGGCGAGGGCGGCAGCGATGACAATTTGAGTGGCGGAGCCGGGCTCCTTGACCGAGTGCCACCAAGGCTTCTTGACCGTTTCGACCTCGGCGGAAACAGGACCGGTGGGCTGAGGGGTGGGCTGGTCGTAGGAGGAACTCTCCTTGACCTGGTCGTTGGACTCCATGGCCCTCTTCTCCTCGTCGACACCCATGGTTGAGTTGACGATGGCCGACTGCGCGTGTTGTCGTCTTGTGGGTAAGGGGAGGGCTGACGCAAGCAAGACGAGGGTTGGCGTGAGAGGGGGAGCTGCAAGGTCGACCTGGGGCTGGGAGAAAGAAGAGGAGGGGAAGCACGAATGAAAACCGAAGAGATGGTACCGACAGAGGGGCTATATATCCATCCATCGAGGCGGTCCGGTCCTCGATGGGGGGGGGAATAGCCCTTCTTACCCCTGGCCAGCCATGCACATGCTCGTCCAAGACCAGGGCTGGGCTACAGACAGGCAGGGAAGCTCAACGATGGGTAGTGGCTCTCGGAACCAATGGCCATCTAATTACCCCAGAGCTGCGCGATAGGAAGGCAGACATCATGTCGTTCTTGTCTATCAGGTGGCGATCTCGAGGGGTCTGGTGGGCAGGGTCAGGGTGCGGGACGATTCGTCGCATTTCGTTGGCAGAATTGGGACGGTAAGCCCGAGGTGCGTATCTCGCCAAGGCGCGGTATCACCACTTGGTGGCATTGGCATTTTTCTCTCTAAAGGAAGGTCAGACAAGGAGGGCACCCGCTTGGGAGGTCCGGCGACTCGTGAGACTCGCCAGTTTCTCCATCCCCGCATGCTCGCTCCTGCTCCCCACCACACGAAGCCTTGTCTCGCTTGCGTGCGACTGGCATGAGCACCCTGGTCAGTCTCATGTGGCCGGTCATGGCCAGTTCACGGATAGGCCCAAGCCTGCAAGACGCTCTTCCTTGGGATTCGTCATTGGGCCTAGCGGGTTCGTCCATCGCGTGAGGGTTGTCCTTGGTTGGCACGCGGCGGCCGTTGAGGGACGCGAAGAAGGCTTCCAGAAGATAAGGAGCAGGCAGCAAGTGGGACTTTGGCCTTGGGTTGGAACCTCCAAGGCCACGACAGTCAGCGAGTTGAAGCACCGGCCAGCTTTCGGTGGGGAGACAGACTGTCGGACCTCTGGACAAACAAGGTCTAGAATCTAGCCGCAAGAAGGCTCAGAAACTGCTCGGGCTACCCCTGCCTGGCCTGGTTCCGTCTGGCCTAGGAGGGCAAGCAGTTGAGCGAGGCATTGGTCGGTTTCCATGAGGAAATCATCATGTCATTCCATGGCCGAATCCCGTGGTCGAGTCGCGGCCAGGCATCTCGATTCGGACGCTAGCCTGTCAGTCGTTGTCACGGCGCGGGCTTGAACTGTGCGATAGATGGTCTTGTCGAAACAAGCGACCGAAAAAGGCGCGCGCCTTTCGGGTTAGTCGACCCCATCGTACCTATCTGGAGAGGGATCCATTCGTCGTTTGCTGGGCGGCCGATGAGGCTCAAGACACGGAGAGGTGTCAAGCGGACAAGAGGCCGGCAGTCGGTGTCGAGCAAGCGAAATGGGCGAAGAACCCCAAGCGAACCAGGCCCGTGGCTAACGTGCGATAGGCATCGTGACTCGCAGCGAACGATGCGGTGTGTTTTGTTTCGCGGAGATTTTCCCGTCACTTTCTCAGAATTTTCTGCTGTCATGAAATCCATCGCGGTTACATGAGTGAGGGGCGATTAGGGACAAATTACGGTCGGAGCCATTTGTCACGACCTAATTCCCCCAGTGTTAGCAGCTCCTGCCCCGGATTTGACCAGGGAGCAGACACGAGGCTATCACGTAAGAGCAGAATGGCAGGAGTGCAGAAGGGCAGGGGAGCAGAGGTATGGGTAGGTGCGATGGGCTACAACGAAGCCATGGCCTGAACCGTGGCAGCGGACAAAGAAGGGCGAGGAAGGAAATCCCAAGCCGCCAAGTGGCCAAGCACGACTTCCTGACTCCATGCCACCAGCCAAGGATAAGCCAAGGCAGCCGGGGGCGAACAATGGACGCCCACGGCCGAACGACGCCTGTTTTTGTACCGGGATGGTGCGAGGCAACCCGCACTTTCAATCTCCGCATCCGGTCGGCTGATTGGCTTCTCCCACTCCCTCACCGGGTAGAGGTTGCCGCCGAGAGTCTCGGCAAAGGCTCGGCGGTCTGGGCGGTGTTCTCTCACGACCACCGGCCCCTCCCCAACGTCGCTCAACTGCTCCTGCCCGCTCGATGCCCGGCTCACGCACCTGCCCTTCTGACCCCCCCATTTCCTGGCAAGAGCCATCGAGGCCCCCTTCCCTCCAACTGCCACTTGGCAAGCCATGTTCCCTCATCTCAACCAGTCATGGCTTCCTTATTCTCCTTGGCTGCCTTATTCTTCTTGGCTTTGCCATCCCGTGCTTCTGCCGTCGTAAAGCGCCCGATCGCCCTACTCCTTGTCGCTTTCCATCCAGCTTTCCGCCGCTGCCAACTTCTCGCGTCGCAAGCAGTTTTCACCCTCTTCCATTAGGTACCTCTAGTCTGCTGTTCCACCGACCACCATGCACTCGTACCCACCCTCCTCCTTGCTCGTTCCCTGCGGTGACCTGCGGTGCCCAGCCTTTGGTGCCATTTGCCAATGAGCTTAAGTCCAGAGCCAAGTCCCAGCTGTGATTCCCACTGCGACGCATTGATGGGGGCCTTCTGCGCGATGGTCCCCCAATCTCCAGCCTTCGCGCGTCTTCCCTGCACATGGGCACGGGACTGAAGACCGAATCAGGAGCAGGGTTGACCGGAGCGACATGGCCAAGTAAGGTACCTCACTGCCAGAATGTTAAGCCTCTGGCAGCAATCACAGTACAGAGTGGCAGAAGTCACATTTCTATCCCGGCGACTTGAGTTCTCTCCAAGTCAAGGTCAAACGGAGATAAGCGTGGTGCGGCCAGCCTCCCTCGTCAGCGGCTGGGCGGCCTGCCGCGCAACCTAGGCTGATCTGAGCCTGGCTTTGAAAAACTCTTTTCGGTGGAAGCCCTTCTGAATTCTCCTAGCACCGGCACCTCCAACGCCACCATCCCTTCCACCGATGGGGGCACGTCACGAGCGACGAGACAGCCTGGGCTTTGCATCTGGTCCCGCGAGTACCCGCAAATTCGGTTGGCCTGCAATATGCCCACTTTCTGTTTGCGATGGTGCCCCTGCAGCAATGTTGGCAGTGAGGTCGATTATTCACCCCATTACTCCTTCACGGTGAGGATGACAGCCCCATTTTCACGAGTCCTAAGCTTGTGCTATTCATTTCTCGTCTATAGTCGAGCAACTCACCGAGGCTCTTCATATCGGCATGATGAGCGAGAGACCATCGCCAATAGTGTTCAGGCTCCTCATCGCACTGACAAGCGCCACATGTAACGCTGCAGCAGTCGCTATGCCACAAAGGTTCCTCTCGTGTCATCGCTATGGGGTGGTCTGTTGGCATTCAATATTGAGCTCGATGATACGACCGACATAGGCAGGTCCTATCTTGCTCAGCTCCCACGTAACATTCCAAAGGGGCAGGAGAGCATCCTTTCCACGCTGTGAGCCTAGAACGAGCCCCTACCTCTCAATACCAAGACCTCGTCTGCATGCAAGCATCAGAGCAGTTTCTTAGACATGTATTAGCTTTGTGTGTCGCTGCTCATCGAAATTCACCTTGACATCCAGCACACCCTGACTCTAGGTACTGAGAACCATCAAGAAGTATCCTCAAAGAAGCTTGTGTTGAGCGATGCTCTGCGTTCGCCCCGAGGCCTCGCGAACTGTGATCAGTCAAGAAACTCAACACAGCCAAGGCGGCCGTGCTAGTTGGGGGCGTGCCACTTTCTGCGGGGGACTTGAGATATGGCTGTCGCCATCGAGCCAAGCAGCCTTGATGCGTAACCCTGTGCCCACCCTTTCGGTGCTGATTCCTTCCATCTTCCATCTGCCTAGCCTCCTAAAGCTTGGCTTGGCTGACCTGACGCGTCGCTCATTCAGGGCTCATCGACGCGCAACCGTCTCCCCGGCGCCGTGATAAGCCTCTGATACGGGCAAGTGGCAAGATTGAAACAGCATCAGAGTCAGACGGACTTTTATCCCTGGTTTGATTGGTGTCGACTGGCTCTGCGCAGCCACGTCTTTTTCTGTCAGATTTCCTCACAGCATGCGGCGGATGCTCAGTAGTTCGTAAGCCGAGAGGATGATTCTCTTGCAGATTGCAAAATGTCAGATGAATGAATGGGTACCTGCCAGGGGTCGGGTTCTCACTGTGCTGACGCATCACGTGCTACATTTGGCCATGGTCAGTGCGCCGAGGCACCACCAGAACCCATTTCACAGCGCCAACCTTCTGTAATCATCCGTGGGATCGGCCCCGAGAACTAGATACACGGCCTTAGCATTACAACTCGAAAGCATGTCAAAAATTGCCCAGTTGCCGCTGCATCTGCAGCTGACCCATCTCCGGGAGGTTCTCTCGACAAACCCAACCCTCGTCGCTATGATCCATCGTGCGGCACTGCTCGGCCTGCCGAACTGGTACCTGGCAGCGGGGTCCCTCTCACAGACCATTTGGAACAACGTGTCAGGCATGCCGTCGGACACGGGCATCAGTGACTACGACCTCGTATACCATGACGCCTCGGATCTCTCCTACGACGCAGAAGACAAACGCATCCAGGCCGGCAGGGCGCTTTTCGCCGACCTAGGCGTGGACGTTGAGATCCGGAACCAGGCGCGCGTCCACCTCTGGTATGAGCAGAAACACGGCGTTCCGTGTTCGCCCCACGGCAGCACGGAGGCGGGCATCGACTCGTGGATCTCGACGAGCGCCATGCTGGGTGTGAGACTAGAATCTGACGGGCAGTGGACTGTGTACGCGCCCCGAGGGCTTTCGGACTTTTTCAACATGGTTGCTAGGCCTAACGCAGTCCTGGGCACGAGAGAGGCATATGAGAAGAAGGCGAGGCGGTGGAAGGGAATCTGGCCGAAGCTTCAAGTCGAGCCCTGGCCTGCGTCGAGAAACGAGAGTGCAACTTTTGGGCTTCCGGAGGAATCGGCTTCCCAAAGTCCTGTAGAAATTTCTAGCCAAAGCCGTTGATACAGGCTCAAAACGAGCGGGAGTGACTCTCACAGGCGCGGCAACCAGGCGCCGAGCCAGCGTTCCTCAGAATGAGCCGATGATATCTTCAGGCCGCCCCGTAGTAGCCACAACTGTGTGCGGACGTATACCACCAATCTTCCAGTGTCCGTCAACCATAACATACAGAAACTCGACGAAAACGCTAGAGTCCCACTGGGCTGCGTGCTATTGGAAAGCGTCCTCACGTGGCGAGCCCGAACCTGCCAGTCTCCCTTGATCTCTGTGGCATTGGTGCGCGTGAAAAAGGATGCGCCGAGGAAGTGTTGGCTGCCGACTATCACAGCATATCATCAGCGTTGATCATGGACAGTACGGACATTTCGCTGACTCACGTCGTTTATCACCGAGGCCCGTCACAGTAAACGAGTGTGTGAAGATGTCATCTGGGCTGGCAATCGTCACAGTCCCCACTGCTGGGTAGTCGGCATAGTCGGCCACCACCTGAGGGGCAGTGATGGCGAGCCAGGTTGATTTATCCTATTATGACCATCAGAGCGTGGTTCGTCGCATGATTCATAGATTCAACATCACCTTTCTATCCCAAGCGATGGACCACTTGTAAGAAAGCTCGCGGAAGCTTCTCTCGTCGGCCAGCGAATACTCCAGGTGTCCGTCGATCGTGGCGGTGGTTGCTAGGCACTGGCTATACCACCGGTTCTGGTACTGCCAGCGGTACAGCAGTTGGGTCCCGTCCAGGTCTCGCCGCCACATTGACCCCTAGTAGAACGTCGGACAGAGTGAACGGGCCATGAGTACTGGTGATAGGTAACAAACCAAAGGTTGGCGCAGGTTGACGTATCCTTGGCAGCAAGTGCAAGGACACCCAAGCTCAGGAGTCCCATCAAGAAGAGTTGGATGGCCATGCTTTCTGATGGATGAGTCGAGACACTCGATACTTTTGGAGATAAAAGGAATGGAGTACAGAAGCAGAAAAGACAGCACCAACCCAAGAGCATCTATGCATTCCTATATCTCAGTCGACGCGACATCTCACACAGCAGCCCAGCTGCCGAGCCCTTGAGCTGAATCAGCGGAAAGAAAAACAAGCACTGAAAGGTCGGAGGAGAAATCCCCGACTGCCGACATTCGAGTTGAAGTATCGTCAAGCCCAGGTCTTGTACGAGGTTAGTGTCCTCCAAAACCCGCTGAATCATCCCGTCTGGAGACGAAAAGAGTGTGGCTATACGCCTGATTCTAAACATGGAGATTGCTGTGCAGCAGCAGCACTGCATGCAAGTGAAGTGACAGCGGGATCGCTTGGGATCTGGCTATATCGCAAAGGTTGTTTAACAACGCTGATGATTGGCGCATGGGCCTGTCACGGACACTGACGGACACCCGTTAACATGGGGTCGGTCGGGATTTCACCGCAATTGTGTGGAGGCTTCAGATCGTCCGGCAATATAGACTCGGGACCTCACCGCACTCAGGGGGATCCTGACTGTTCTTCGAAGAGAATGGCGCCCCCCTCGAAAAGAACGCCATGTCAAGCAGGCAATCATCCTGACTATCCTGTCTTGATGTCCAGCGCTAAAGACTGCAGCTCATCGTCTAGAAGCGATCATGATCATCATGCCTACATGACCGCAATATCTCGTGATTCATGTAGAATGCTGATAATATCTCCACATCGATGATGGTAGGTACAGTGTTACATGAGCAGTGAAAAGTCATACAACATTTCTTCAGCTCGTATAAAACAGCAGGACTGCCTGAATACGAGTGATCCATGATGAATATAAAGGTAGCATAATCATATCGTATGGTGTATTGAGCTACTTGGATATGAGGCAAGGGAATGAGCATTGGAGATTTTCATATATTTCTCTCGGTTGGTAAAGATCGTACGAAGTCCTCGAAGACTAAAAGGAGCATCAAGCCAATAACGGGCCCAGCGGTCATGTAAATGTCGAAAGAAAGCTCAATGAAGGAAATTACTCATAACGGACATATTTCGTGACGGCCGCAATGCAGGCCACTGCCCTAGTGAAAGTCATCCAGCCCAAACGGGTCCCGCACGTCCTGATACACCGGCTCAGGCTCAGGATCCTCGATGACAAGACCTTCCGTGATTCGCATGACTTTCTTAACGTCATCAAAGCAGATGGGCCGTCCAGCTCGTTTGGCCAAGATCTTGGTTGTCTTCGCAATGTTACGAATGCGCCGACCATTGACGTCAATATTTG